TTCCAGACTGATACTCCTCCAGTAGCTGTTGAGGAACATCCTCCCACACTGTGCTGCGATTATTGTATCAGTCAGACATCTGATGATAACAGAAATAGCAGCATTATTGAAGTAAAGGTGGAGGTGGACGAGCAGAGGGTTAAACTGACTGCTGCAAGCAGAGGATGGATGCAAAAACGGTCAGAGCAAGTTAAAGAAAGCACGTAAGTAAGCCATCGTCTAATTAAGGGGTGATTGGCTCAGAGGCGACCAGTGTGCAAGTGTATAAGTGAAACTAGGTCGCGTTTACCAGAATACTAAGAGTGACAGCACGTACTCCCCTCTGATCCTTTGAACCACAGTCAGGGGAGACGATGTTGCCTAGAAACAGAGAAAATGCTTATTCCTCAGTTCTTCAAGGTTTCACATTGTTATTGTTGCAACGACATCATCACAGCTCTTCAGTCTGTGTGATTCTGCAGACTGAAGGCAGATTCAAAGTACAGTCTGGGAAACAAACACACAATTTGATGTTAACGTAATTATTTGGAGGAGAACTACAATAAATTACTCAACCATTTATTCTGTCTGGGTCACATGCATCTGCCATGATTTTCTTCTGAATGAGGTGACATAAGTGTGGGTTATGAGAACTAGGACTAATCCTTTATTCTTGCTGCAGGTTTAGTCAAGTAGGAGCATGTGAAGCACATGTCAGACACGCATTCACGTTGTGCAGCAATAACACAGCTGCATTCTGCAAGATACAAATAATAAATAACATATTGATACTTTTTCACTTCTGGTTCTGTGTAACTGTGATGATTGAAAGTGCCCTCCAACACATTTAGTTGACTTGTTAAGATTTCCAGGACACCAGAGGATTTACTTAGTAATCCTCCCGTCAGCCGGTCAAAGCTAGCGCGCAACTATTTTGGCTCTTGTGATACTACACTGTACTATTCCTGTAATGTTTTTAATTGTGGCTGACCACCTGTGCAGGAATACAGTTAGGAATACAGTATGGGTTATCATGGGGAGACTACAAGAATTGTGACTGTTGTTTTAACACATTTTGATTGTCTTAAAAGTGCAACAAAACTAAGATTTTACAATAAATTAACAAAACCGTTATACAGATGAATAAATATATACTCTCAGTTATGATAATTGATCATTATTTAAGGTCATTCATCAAGCAAAAATACTTTTAAAATGTGATTATTTGCTTTTTTCTCAATTATATACAGGCTGCTCTCATGCACTGTTTGTATGTATACCTACAAAAAATAATTCACGATAATTTTTATATAACTCATGTAATCAAGAGCCAGTAATTCGTGTAAACCCACTAAGGAAGGCTGCGATCATGATAAGGAAGAAAGTAGTGGAAACACAGAAAGTCCATGTAAGGACTTTCTGTGTTTCTAAGCCCATTGTGGTGGTGGATGGCTCAAACCACGCAGGACTTTCCCCCAGGAGACTGGTGTTTGCAACTGCGTGAAATGTAGTAAACTTTGAGTTATTTTAAGATACACTGTCACCATGTTTCTTTTCCTAAACCTAACATACATAACTTTACTTGATTAAACCTAACCTAGCTTTTGGGGGTTTGGACTGTAAAAATGAGTATTTTTTCACAACTTTCTGACATCAAAATTATGCTTGATTAATCAAAAACTGTAATTTTTATCCTAAGAATGTAAATATAAGTTTATCTGTTGGTTTCAGTTAATAGTGAAGTCATCTCAGTGCCAGTTTACCAGCCAAACCTCCAGCTTTTCATCCTCAAAAAGGTCACAAAAATCCAAAAATGGAAGTTGCTCATATTTCAGAGTGACAGTGGTCCAGCCTGTAATCGACACAAGGTTACAAGAGGGAGATTATAAAGGGCAAAGTAAAAAGGCCAGAAGCAAGAAATGGAAACAGTTGTACATTGAGTGCGTTCAGGTTATGTCAGAGACTCATTACCACATATTGAATATTCTGCATCGACTTGCTCCAGCTTTTCATTGAGACTATATAATGACATATTCTGTCCCTTACTTTGTGTATCATTGAGCAGATCCAGTTCCATAGCAACTAAATGCATGTTAGTTGTTTGTGCTGTGACATTAGCGCCTGTGTGAATCACTCGACCTGAGGGCAGGGTGGCGAGCCTCCAAGGGGCTTCCGTGACAACAGCCGAAGGACACCCTTCCCAAAACCCACACTTATACAATCACACACACAACTCGTCCTCCTGCTCCTCCTTCCCTCCTCCACTCCAAAGCCTCGGTCGGCTCTGTAGACTCTGGCCTGGCTCTGCTCTAGTTGCCCAAAGGCAGGAGGACGGCACGACCAGGGCAGCAGCTGCTGTTGTCATACCAACACTGGTACACCGGAAATAACAGACAGGCCTGAAGGACGCTCTGTCTCTTGTCCATTTAGCTGGACAAATGGCCCATCAGTCTCTGTATTTACCTGAGAGAATACAGTTCTTAACCCATTTAACTAAACAAACCTGGTTCTGAGTAGACGGGCATAAACATTAGGGGATTACAAGAAATCCAGTTAAGATTCTTGGCTCACTCCCATATTAAACTAGCTCCTGCAGCATGGAAACTTCCCTCACCTTTGGTTCAGCCCAAGTATGGCTTAAATTGGAGCTCTGCCAATAGCTGGATTAACGCGTACACACAAACAAAGTACACTCACTGTATCATTTCAGGAAAGCTCCTCTAAATGTAAGCAGTCACGAAGGCTGTCTATTAGAAGCTGTAGCCAACATGCTAAAGCTAGCTCGAACGATGATTGTGTTGTGCATGATAACCTAGATAATCAATCCAATCAAAACAAAGAGAGGCAAATGAAGCAGCACAGGTTATCATCTTATGCAAAACATCTAACACTGGCAGCATTCAGTGGCAATGCAGGAAGTAGGGTGCCATTAAAATGAGGGTGTGGCGGTTAAGGTAGATAGACGATTCCATATTGGCATCCTGGTTTTATTATTAGAACATGAATTCGGTTCATGAAGATGAAAGTAGGACAAAACTATTTCTGTTTGCCAGTGACAAGCAATCTTGCAGCCCACTGGCTATTGGTGTGACAATGATTTAGCCTCTGGTGTAGCCAGCTGGTGTAGCCGATTATCCACATAACGGATAACAGATATCTGGCCAAGATTCCCTCTTCTGTGTGCCTGCTATGATTACCAATCTCGGAACTCATTTGTGATCAGTCTGACAACAGTTTATAAACAGATATCTGCAAATGAATGCAAATAAATGTTTAATAAAGCTAGTTAAAGCCCATTGGTTCTGGTATTGCATTTTGGCCAATGCGTTTCACCACTTTTGCTCCTTATATGGACTATTTAACTGCATGGAACCAAAGCCCGCTCAAACCTGATTGGTCAATACTACTCAGACAACAAACAGAAACCAGAATGTTTCTGATAGTAAAATCTTGTCCGCAGGTCCCAAGTGAGGACCAATTAGGCAAGTTCCAAGTGAAAACCAACAAGTGAACACCAAGAAATCCTTAGGCAAGACCCATTAATCCAGACTGGCAAGTTCCAAGTCAAAACGAACAAGTTCCAAATCAAGTCAGTGGTCAAGAGCCCTAAGTTCCAAGTCAAGACCAATAAGTCAAGACAGTCATGGTCCAAGTAAAGGCCAACAAGCGAACACCAACAAGTCCCAAGTCAAGATCAAAAAGTAAACACCAACAAATTCCATATATAGTCAAGTGGTCAAGGCCAACAAGTCCCAAATCAATTCGTCAAGAGTGACAAGTCCCAAGTCAAGACCAACACGTCCTAAGTTGAGTCAGTGGTCAAGACCCACAAGTCCCAAGTCAAGACCCATTAGTCAAGACAGGCAAGTTCCAAGTATAGGCCAACAAGTGAGCACCAAAAAGTCCCAAGTCAGGATCAGAAAGGTAGCACCAACAAGTCTCATGTCTAAGGTTAAGGCCAACAAGTCCCAAGTCAAGACCAATTAGTCAAGAACAATACAAGTACAAGTACCAGTCCTAAACTTTACTTTAGAGTCCTAAACAAGTTATTTTGTGCCCCTGCTAGTTTGATTAGCAATAAATAAATTTAAAATGAAAGAGTCAAAGTTGTTTTGTTCACAGGTTCATGACTCAAGTCTTTCTCAAGTCCAAGTCATGTGGTGCAAGTTTGCAGATCTGTTGAAAGCCACTACTATTATCATGTACAGGAAGTCCTCACACTTTCACCTACTGATAGTGATTGTTGTAGCATCGATCTATCTGCAATGTTGGAGAAGCCAATCAAAGCCAAGTCAAGGTAATTGTTATGGATAATCACGTATTCATTCCCTCACTGAGGGATGCCTCAGCTCAGCACCAATAACTTCAATCAACTGAACATTGGAATGGGAGCAGACAGCAGTCGTTTAATGAGGCGCTCTGCTGGGTCCAAATTGTTTACGCTCTGTGACATGGAAAAATGAGAGGGCTAAATTAAAATGGCCTGCTGTGCCATGTGGACATTCTCTACCTGTTTTCTGCTTTCTGACTCACACTGCTCTTCTGAAAGAGGCATAAACATGGAAATACACTGACACACATGTCCATAACATCAACACAACAGGGGTTTTTTTTGTTTTGTTTATGTGATAGGAGCAGAGGATCGGGGAGAGACATGGAAACAATGCAAGGAAAACAGAGTTAGAAAAGGAATAAAAGAGAGTAGACAAAACAAGGGAGAGACAAACGGCGAAGAGAGACAGAGGGCATGTGCTTGGGAACGTGTCAGTCCATGCTGACAGCATGTGACTCCAGTCTGAGACCAGAGCACAGCAAGGGGGTGTGTGTGTGTATTGTGTGCCACGTGAAGGCTGGCGAGGTGACTAGGTGACATAGACAGATACACCAACAAAAGGAGATGATGCACATCAAATGACAACTCAGCATGGAAGACAAAGTGGGAGAAAATAGACACACATGTTTGACAATATGATGAAACACAGCTCTTTCATTGGGGTGAAAGATATTTTTACTCATGGAGACCAAATCTATAAATAAATAAGGATTACAGAAATACAGAAATAAATACACTGAAAGATAAATAAATAAAAAAAATGTTATTTATTCTGTCATTTATTAATGTATGCTTTTTATGGGGGAAATTCAAATGCATTAATGTTTTGCAAGCATTTTTTGTTTGTAGGTATCGGGGTCTCTTTTGGCAAACCTAGTACAAACCATAGTTCAGATAAAACAAAATGCATGTTGTTTTTTGAAATTCAAATAATATTAATAATTGACCAGGTCATAGAATATTTTGGTCTCTACATTTATGTTGAGTAAATTGTCACATGAAAAATCTTTGGCAAATGATTTTTGTACAATAATAATGCTAGCGTTGTAGTGTTGGGTTTGTGCAAAATGAGTCCTCGTATGTTTATGGAAGCATCTCCCCATTCATTTATTCAGATTCTTCCTTAATTAGTCACCTGTCTGTATAAATAGATCAATTTAATTTGATTGAACAGGTTAGGTCTACATATCTCATAAAATACAAAGTACACCTTTAGTGTTCAACACAAGGAAATGCATCACTTTATGGATAGAAACGCCACTGCAGGAAGTCCATTTTGAGTGGCTTTTTTTTTGCCATCCAGTCTTGTTGAATATGTGCACGGAGCAGTACAGAGACAAAAACAGGACCAATAATGCATGGCGACCAACAAGTTGTTGGCCTGTCAGGTGTGACAAGCCAACCATACTTGAGGCAAATTCTGGAGTGGAAAAAAAAAACATAAGGAGTTTCACAAACACATCAGAGATCAGGGAGGTTCTCAGAGGAATGTGTGGACTGCTGGTTGACTAAGTACAAAGAGCTACATGTATGTGGAAATGAGGCGTTAAGCTATTACTCACAAGATCCATTGTGAATCCTGCACCCAACCACGATGAGCAAACATGCAGGCTGGATCAATCTCTGCATGCACTTCATGGATGCTGAAATCAAGTAATAATCATTGTCATCAGATCCTTGTTGTTATACAGCACACACAAATCTGAATATACAACATAACCAATATTTAAGATTACCAACAGCCATAGCAGCGGCTAATGGAGGCTCAAACAAACAGTCACAGCTGTCACTCAATTTGTTTTCCCTCTGGCTAATTCTGCATTTTTGGTAATTAATGCTGAGAGCAAAGTCCCATTTCCAAAGTTCTTTATGAAATTGAATTTCAAAATCGCTGTAAGTGCCTTGCTCTCGCCAGAGCTGCCAAATCACTCATTCAAGTGTCACTCTGCACTAACAAAAATTACAGCGTTCTCAAGAATAATCATTTAATGGATGGAAATTCTGCTCACCTCATTTTGTTCACTGCTGTGCTTGGTTCAGGCAATCTGGGCTTGTTTTTTAAGTAGCAATGTGTTCTTAAAATGAACAGATTTTGGGAGAAATGCACTGAAAGCAAAATATCCCTTCAATAGCAATTTTTAATCTCATCAGACTAAACATTTCCTTATTTTGGGTGAACATTTTGACTAATTCATCCATCTGCATGTTAAACAATGAAGAAACCCAGCAGAGCATTATCCATTACTTTTCAATCGACCTCTATAAATGGACTCACAGCACATTACAGGCTCCAGGAATATACAGTATCTGTCAGCTACTTGTTTCACCTGCAGCCCTCTCGAAGTGTGTGGGCACCTGAGTGTATGGGATGTGAGTGTTTAATGCAGTGTGTGGGATGTGGAGATGAACAACCCTACACCTCAACATCTCTCACCTGCTGGCAAGAGGAGATGATGAGCAGGTAGGTGGAGAGTCAGCAGGAAATTTTGCTTCTGCTTCTGCAGAAAACCTGAAGCAGAGGGTTGTTTCCATTTCTCATTCAGTGTGGTTTGATGTAATTATTCTACCATACCGTAAATATGGATTATGTTTGGTGGGGGAAAAAAGGGAATCTGTGTCTCCAAAATAAGTCAAAAAAGCAAAAAAGTATGATGGTGAAGTTTTGATTTAGTAGCACATTAATTGTTGATTGACACATAAAGCAGATTGTGTTTGATAAGGAAGTTCTTCTTTTTGGCTGGCAAGGTTACCAGGAAACAAACATGCCATGCAGCCTTTGTGATGTTTCATCCTTTTTCTAAATCAAGGCGTTGCTGAAGACTTTCCCGTAAAATGAGAACTTTTTATTGTTATCTCATGGCCCAGTTTTATTGCTAGGGAGAACTGTCGCTGTCGCTTTAACAACAGCAAATCCATATCAAAACATCCATTTACAAACTTGTGCAAAATAATCCAAGTCTTATGTATCCAGCCCTACGCTCAGTACTCCCCAAACACATGCATTTTCATTTTCAATTGAAAACATGTCAGTACAAACAGTCTAACTGTGCATTCACACCAAAAGCGTCATGAGCGTTATAAGCCACTGGCAGCCATTCATTTTCAATGTACGCTTGCTACGAAGGGCGTCTGGAGCGTCGGCAGCAGCGAGCAGCGCGATGCCAGCGACCGGAGCATCACTGTGAAATTGAGAGAAGGTCAACTTTATGCAAATGAGCAGCGCCGCTGCCGAAGCAGCAGCGAGCAGCAGCCAATTGCAGACCGTGAATATTCTCAGATGAAGTTAAAAACGTGGTGAAAAAGTACCTTAAAATAACTCAAAGTTCACTTTTTTTCACATGGTCCCGAACACCAGCCTCCTGAGAGAAAGTCCTGTGTTTGTTTGAGCCAACTATCACCCCTACCTTCTTACACAGTCTTTGGCTCTATATACTACTTCCCTCTTCACTCACATCAGTGTATTGGTCACGTGATCACAGTCTTCCCAGTTACATGGGTTATACATGGATTACTGTCTCATGATTATGTGGGTTATATATGGATTTTTGGTGGATTACTTTGCGTATAGGTTTATGTACAAACAGTGCATGAGAACGGCCTGGTTTGTGAAGTACTGTAAATTAAACGATGACATGACTCCTATTCCATCCCACAAAAAAAATCCTGTCCTGACTCAGTCCAGCAAGAATGCCCCTGTCCCATCCCATTCCCTTACTGTCTTGTTAAACAATAAAGACTTTTTTTTTTATATTCAAACTTCATATTTAGCCTATATATGAATACTAACCATATTCAGTCAACTATATAGAATAGTGTAATGATGAGATAACCCCTGCCTGCTGAAAGAGCTACTTTGTATATATTTCTTAAACATTTTTATATTATCTTTTCTATATTTTTATTGCAATTTTTCTGTTTTGTACATATGATCTAGACTGTTACAGTACTTTGCCTTCAGTTTTATTTCCACTTAAAATGTTTATTGTAGGCTATACACCAAACAACAAGGCAAATTCACTGTAAGTTAAAACCTACTTGGTAATAAACCTTATTTTGATTCTAACTGCTGTAACCACATAGCAAAGAACTAGCATGTAGTCTATTAGCTTGATGCTAACACATCATTACCAGAATTACCATTAATATGCTAAGTGAAATTAGCATCGTGAGTGTGGTCATATCTTAACAGACAATCCAGTTTACTTATTATGCCTAACATAAAACAACATGTATGCTCATACTTACAGGCAGGTATTTCCCATGTTCCATGGAAACAAACTAATAACTGTTGACTTCACATTGCTAACTTAATATTGTCATTATGAATCCTGTCCAGCCTGTTCCAGTAGACATCTGCAGGAATCCCGCATGACTCCCGTGACCCACAGGATTCCCGAAAAAATGTAAGCCTCTACTGAGCATATGACTGATTAAATGAGACTTGGGTTATACTGCTCAAGTTGTGTGAGAGTTTGTAAACAGATCTTTTGATACAGTTGCTAATGTTAAACACAGACCCCAATGACTTCCAGTCATAATGAATGAATGTTCTCCTTTTTCGGATTCTCTGTTCCTTGTCGAGGCACGCGAGAAAAACAAAGTTTTCTTTATGAATTACAGTGAGTAATTGATACATAAACGGTCATTATGTGGGTGAAGTATTGCTTTCGAGACCAAGAGAGCTGGTATCAGGGGTCGTCAACATGGGGTTAATATTGAGTACATGAGCAACAGGAGTGGACAAAACAACAAACACATGTCTCAGTAGATTAGGTGAACCTTAAAATGTTTTAAATGAGACTGTTGAGTCATATCAATGGTATTTTTTTAGTTGTGTGTAATATGATAACATCATTCTTTTATGTCTCTTGTCTTTTTCTCTTCATAAATGCAATAAGTAGTCAGTTGGTCAAGTCTTTTGCTTTGATTTAATGTCCAATATAGGTCTAAAACTAATATAATCTGCAGTTTGTGCAGTTTCATCAACATCCATGCATATGTGGTGATTATATGAGTATTATGGAAATAATCTGCAAACAGCCTTTGATGGAAGCATCAGAAAGGCCTGAGTGAAGGTCTGACTGACTGAACAGGCTGTGTAGTTTCAGACTCAGGACTCTGCTGTTACGAGCGAGGGATAACAGCCTGAGTCCATGTAATTGCTTTGCTAAGTGTTACGTAACAGGAATGGTTCTGGTACAGATTCGGGATAATTTCAGCAGCAGCATAAGCTTAAAGCCTCTGTGCTGCTGGATTATTCCACTATATTTCATCAAGCTTATTTGTTTCCCCTCCTCCTACTGTTATCCCATTTCTCATAAAGAGAAAACTTTGTATCTGATATTGTTTGACTCATTTATGTCATCAGGTCAGGGTTTTGCTTTGTGTTATTTTCCTCACTCACAGTTGTTACTGTTTATCTGATTTTCACAATGTCAGAGTATAGTCTAAACACAAAGATCATGTTGTTGAGAGAGTGGGAAACTTTGTAAAGCAGAAGGACGACAAAGGACATTTTTGAGTTAGAGTTAGAGTTATTTTTTTTTCTTTGCCAGCTATCTGTGTTATGTTAATGAGTGTGACGCACCTGTCCACATACTTTTGGGCTGTGAGGCTGTTTTTCCTGGTTGGGTTAGACGCTTTAGTTCCAATGATGGGACTGTCTAATGCCTCAACATACAATGATATATTAAACAATAATGTGCTGCAGCTTTGTTGCAGTGGTTTGGGGAATGCCTGTTTCAATATGACAGTGCACAAATCCATGGATGAATTACCAACCATCTGTCTGAGTAATGGTTCTCCTTTGCATTTTAGACCCATAGAGGCAACACCCCATTTTCCACTTAAATTGACAGATATTTTTTAATCATTAATAATAGTGGTTATGATTCATTTAAGTTGGTAAAAAAAAATGACAATCTTTGTATGTGTGCCATTCACAGCTTTTTGTGTTTCTTGATCACTTTTAGCATCAGTGTGTTAAATAAGTACATATATGCATTGTACTAGGCTGTACTAATTGGAAAGTTCACATTCTGGCAATAATTTTAGTGTCCTGCTTGACAATTGCTGTTCACTTAACGAATGCTTGACAAGCACTAACGCCACAACCAATGGCCGACGGTCAGCCATTGGTCAACAACGTCAGGCCATCTGTGAGGATCTGTTGCCCTAGTTTGTGTGGTGCGGCCCCCTTTGGCTTTTTTAGCTGATTCAGCATGTTGAATTGCCATTGGAGCCTGTGTAGGCCGTTGGTGAATGAAATCACTCTGACTGGCAGTTCAGCTCAGCGCACAAGAAGAGAAATAGAAGTGAGGAAAGTAAACAAATGGCATCAGTCAAGAGGGCATGAAACTGAAACAAACTTGCTGTATTAGGCAAGATTATTTTTTGAAGTCACTGAGCTCTTATGCAGAAATGGTTAGTAATTGTTGGGGCACAGGTAAGTTCCTTTGTTCTTTAAACATTGGTTAGTGTTGTTAATGTGCTAACTGGCTAACTAGCATCTTGAATCCGTCCTGTTAATCTTTTGCTTTCCCTTTTTGAATGACGAACACAGACTACCGCCGCCTGATGATATGGAGAGTTATTTTGTGTCACGCAGGTGCAGAATGTGCATACCAGTTGGCCGTTGGCTGTC